ATTATATTTAATACGATTTTCGTACGCAAAGGGATTGGAATCGACTATGGCCGCATCGATGAATTTCTTAAACGGTTAGGTTCTAGCCTTGATGGAGCTCGGCTATTAACTGCCGGAGCAATGCAAATCAATTCACGTGGAGAATGGAAAGGTTTATAATGATGCAACCACCTCCTCTCAACTTCTTTCGTAGTCCATTTTGGGCTTTTCTTCTTGGTGCAAATAGTATCTAATTTAATAGTTGGAAATTTTACTCCTGTTCTTCCAGATTTTACCTATTCTACTCGCTTGACTGCCCGGGAACCTATTTTGTATAACTTGGCTAATTCGTCCTAACTAATCACATTTGCCGATCGTTCCATACGTTTCTTTATGTTTTATGTTGAAAGTGTTTCCAATATCAACAAACCGGCTCGCGACCGTCCCGGTATATACGAATAGGCAAAAACATGTATTACCGCGGCCGGTGTTTGTGAATCCTTGACATGTGGCGTTTTTGTACTTAAATTGTCAAAAAACTATTGTCGAGCTCAGGACTTCTCAAACTTTTTTTATTTGGTGATCTTTTTATCACATATCATGAACAACTGTACATACACACCTTTGAAAGGATGTTTCAAAGAAAGGGATAAATTTCCTTGGAAATATAATATTTTAAAATGTAAAAATTAAAAAAAAATATAATTATACTCACAAAACTGTGAATCATTTTCAAGATACAGACATTGTAGATTCAACATACATTCAAACTATTGAATCGCCGCGGCGGATTTCACGAGCTGGTTAAATTAAAAATAGGAATTAAAGAAACTTCTTGATTTGTATTGTCTCCAGAAACAATACGAGTTTTTAATAATTCTATGCGTTCTAATTGATTAATACGATCTTCTTCTTGCAACTTAGATTCCATTTTTTCAACTTTTGCGGATCGATTTTCATTCTTTGTTCCCTGAAATAACAAGTCCATGCAATTACAATTCCGAGTAAAATGAGAAACATTAAAAATTCATTATTAATAATTCAAGAAACCTGTAATTCTTCTTCAACTATAGCTATTTGGTTTGCATAGCTTTTCAAAAATGCTGCATTAGATATTACTTCATTAATTTGCGATTTGTTTTATCGATGCTTTAATCACCGCCTTTAGATAATCTACGGAAGGACCAACCGTTCTTTGAATGTGATTGGCTCTATCAAACTAGCCAGTTTTAACAAAATAGCCTCGCGGGCAGACAAACGGCAGAATCTCTAAAGTTTTCACCACATGCAGACGTTACAAATTTCATCGCGCGAAGAATCGTATAGAATCTTTCCATTTATTGAATGCGAAGTAAAGTATTCCTGCTTATAGGCAATAATATATATAAGTACAATTATCACTCTCGGTTAGACAATTTACATTCTACTGCTGTAAAATTAAATCACTTTGAACCCAGAAGCCAAATTCGACAGTACGGCTAGTACAGTTACGAGTAAGTCGCAACATATACATTAGATTTTAGCATTTCTACAATATATCAATTGATTTTGTCTTTAAATGATAGCTCAATCATCTCGAACGTTGCACAGACATTTCTATTTTAACAAATATTTCTAATTCAGTCTCTTATTATATAAAGAATGATGGAATGGTTGATATTTCATAAGAAAAAGTCCAGAGATATTAGATCTGGAGATCTTGGACAGTAAAGTATTCTACTTTTTTTTTCCTATCTTTTCAGAAACATGCTGTCTAATATTTGTTCGAACTCGACAGTCATGGATAAGAACATCCTGATAATATGAAGAAATTAGAGATATCTGCCTAGAAATTAGTCTTGTTACAAGATATCCATCATAAAATGTTGCCTCTCAACAAGACAGGTTCTATTTGACATTTCTTTTTTTTTTTTTTTGGAATAATCAATTATTTGGATAAATAATTAGATAATCGCGTGCAAAAGTTCAAATGAAAAATCATTATAATATTATCATATAATGATACACAATATCAACATGATACTGAATTAAGTAGAATAAATTTTCCCATGGATCTTTCGTTCTATTTTCCAGCTTTTTATTCGAATTTTTTGCTTCAAGCTTAAGAATTCTATGACTTTCGATCGAATTTCTTAAATGCACGCATTCATTGCAAGACGTTAATTTTAAATCACTAAATTTCTTGTTTAAACAAGTAATCGATTTTGTTCTGTTACTTTATTTGCCAATGTTTGACGAGTTTCTTCTTGTGATATTTCATTTTCAGTTTCATTCATCAACATCTCTACTATTATTAAATATTTTTGATGAATATAAAGTGATACATGATTTCTTATTTTGAGAACAATTAAAATCATCTATAGTATCTAAAAGATCGGTAGAAAATTTCGTAATTTCTTCGGATAGTATTGTTACTTTCATTTTTAATTCTACAATTTCTGCTTTTAAGACATTATTTTCTGTCTTTACATGTTCGACATCATTTTTAGCAAAATGTTCATTTGTTGATAAAGATTGTTCTATCTTACTTTTTAGTATATTACATTGCTCCTTCAACATTTCGTTTCCTTCTATTTTCTCTATTAAGTTTGTAGAAAGTTCATTATTTTTAACTAGCAAATACTTATTAGTTTCTTCAATATCAGCTATCTTCTTCTTGTAAATACAATCGTGATCATATAAAAGTGACTTATTTTCTTTGATGCTTTCAAGTTCTTTGTTTTTCTTTGTAATGAAAGTTGATAATTCAATATTCTCTGTTATTAATTTATCAATTTTATTTTAATATGATTGTAATAACATTACATACTATTGACATCTTAGATAGATTCTAATTGATTATGCAAAGCTGCTAAATCTTTCTAAAGTTGACTTGTGTTGTTGAATATGTTGTTCTTCCCTCAAAAAATGTAAATTGCATAAAAATGAATTTATAATTTTAAAAAAATAAGAGTTAATATATCGAGAAAATCATTGCTCTATACAAGTATTTGTAAATTTATTTATAAACCTCTATACAGCCACAATTGACTTGACATATTAACGGCTTTTCTAAAATTATAAATTTGTTTATATGTAATTTATGTTTTTAGGAAGAATAACAAATTGAATAAGTCAACTTCAGAATGCTATACACCAGAATATATTTTATATTAACTGTTTTCTAAAGTTATAAATTCACAAAGTTCTACAAATTCTGTTGTTAAGTTAGATATACTGTCATAAAACAGTTTGGTGTAAAAGATTTAATGACAGTTATGGACAAAATAAATTAAAATTATATTGTACAATTTTATAATTTATACCTATTTTAGTCTTCACCACTTACCTCACAGTTTGGATAAAAATGTTACATTTTTTTGGCATTTCATCAAAACTGTTAATATTGCATACATTATCAACAACTCAATTTCTATGTTTTGTTACAAATACTTCATCACATATTCTCTACTTATATTCTCTCTAAATTCACAATCTCTTTCACTTTTATATAATTCTAACTTAAAATCAGTAAAAGCTACTTGGAATGCTAAAAATGAAAAATAATATTATGTTCGTTAACCAATTACCCACTGTAATACTTTTTTTTTGTGGCTTTTCAAATGATACTTCTTTTATCGTTGGCAAATCAGATTTAGGCTGATCTTGTCGGTAAATGTTAGTTAAATAGTTTATGACCACTCCATGTTTGTTTATAAATTTGCATTTATGTAGATAATGACATGCTTTTATTTTAGGTTCAGGAATTATGTAGTTAAATGAATTCCAGGACGGTCATAAATATCTTAATTTTCATGAAAGTAAATTAATAAGATTACTTAAAAATTCATTCAGTGTAATTCCTGTTTGTTTTCAAAACCAGCAAGATCTACTAAATTCAGTTGTAATAACACTATCTGACTCTCTTTCAGCTTCTCTACTTTCAATTGTGTAAATAGAAAATTTATGTTAAAATATTACATCTAATCAGAGTATTTTAACATAAATTTAACAGAGTAGATATATGTAGTAACATACAATTCCAAATATAGTATAATTTCTACTACTGCATTCATCCATACTAGTTTCTACTATTCTTTTATTTTTATCTCCTTTTTTCATTATAAGCAGAACATTTTCAGGACTATTTATAATTTTCTCCTTATACTGCAAAATTATCTGCCCACTACTATATCTTTTCTATCTTCAGATCAATCTCATTGTTATTCAAAAGGTCATTCACTTTTTCATTATAAATTTTTAAATAGGATATTCTATAAAAGATATGATTATAACGAATGTAAATATATACAACTTCCATAAAAATTCACGTTCGTTAGTGTCAATTAAGCATCAAAGAGTTCTTCTGCATTATTTATCATAGTATATGTTTCACTAGAATTTGTTTGACCATAGATAAACATTGTCCCATTAAAACCATTTATAATATCATTAATAACTGGTTTCACAATTTCAAATACATGCAAATTAAATGCATTCATATCCAAAATATGAATCTGTAAACATGTTCAAAATATTCAAAATATTAACAATTACAAATAAACTTCGCTGTATAGTGAATGTAGCAAGCAACACGTATATATCAAAATAAAATCTCCACACTTCTTTACCTCTTCATTTGTAGAAACAATGGAATTATCTTGAACAATCCATTGTATCCATTGTATCATATGTATAAATTATTATTTTTAATACTTGATTAAAGACTTTACTTTAATCTCACTTTGATTATCTTTATACATTTGACATTTTTACTAATTGTTTATCTCAAATTATTAAATTATTAATCATTAGCTTATTTTTAGATTAATATTTACTTTATTTCTTTCACTCATGTTACATGTCTCTACATTTCTAAACCATAACATTTGAAAAAATGACTCCTTTAGTGTTCGTTTGAATTTAAATTTTCTGCAATCTCATTGGTTTATTAAAGCATGGAATTGCTAATAATAAGATAGGTGACTAGATATAAATAAAAATCTCTTTACGTTCTCCACGTGATCCTTCATAGAATATATAACACTTCTGGAAGCGTAGCAAAGGAGATATCTGCTCAGTTTACAACAAGAGTGCAAAAACTGTGCGAAGACATTTTCTCAGGTTTAAATTTGCATCCTGGAACCGATGGCGTTGTTCGAATATTGTCGATCTAGACCAGAGAGTCCTTGTCCGTACTTTCTTGATTTGAAGATCTATAAATTAGATTCTTGATCTAAAGACTTATAGAGTATGTCTTTAAGCTTGCTTGTTTTTTGATTATTATAGCTTAAATATGAATGGTTCATTATGTTAATTATCAAATTATTGACTTGTTGATTAGTTTTAAGATTTTATTTTGAACTTATGGAAGATTTTAAATGAGGGAAGTTAGATTTATTTGGAGTAACCCCATTGTTTCTCTTTAGGGTTGGTTTTCTTTCACTGGGTTGTTTTCCCCTATCAATTTGTAATTTGTGGTTTTTCAGAAATTTTTACTTTCATAGGCCATTATTTCGTTGATTTATTTGTTGTGTGTAGTATTTGTATATAGAAATAATGCTCATATTCTTGAGAAAATGTATATGATGGTATTTCGCACCTATATTCTTTAGTTATTTAAGGTCATAGCTAGCACACAGTGTGACAGCAGTGTCTTGTGCTTTTGCTTTTGGTTGTGTGGCCGTATCTATAGCAGTTTTTGCATGTAACGGAATTGATATGAACATGAGGCTTTATGTTTTAAAGACTGAAGATTTTAAAATATTCTATAGTAACGTATTTCTTTCAAAAGTAAGAGTATAGTTTCACTGTGGACCCTCATTAATTTTACCTTCCATCTTATTACCTTCAGCGGTTTGAATCTTTTTATTTATTCTATTGGTATTCAAAATTTTGCGAAAAGATAGATTCATTAATGATTTTTGTCACATCTATGTTAATTCTGTCTTCCATATCTTGTTTGTTTAGTTCTCCTAAGTTAACAAACACATTTGCATGGTCCTTGTTTAAAAATATTATCTTTGATAGCCAAAAGACCTGGATTTCATGTCTATAACACTAATTTTGAGTGAACTTATTATTTACATCAATATTAGGTTTTTCTTTTTGTGTTTGTTTTTTATTTTGACTCCTACTGTTGAAATAGGAAAGATGAAGATAGAAAAACAATTAGGTCACATAATCTCAAAGACAAATGTGGCCCAGAATTATAACATAACAATTAAATGACACATATGAGTCAGACCATTTTCTAATAAACTACGCTATAGACATAAAAAAATATGTCTATCATAAGAAATCGAACAAACTTTCTTTTATCAAAACTAGATGGAAGGGATACAAAGATAGAATTGGACTTTCTTTATTACACATATTTCATCAGCTATGAATTCAGTACTCTCTGACCAGTATGCAAATAAATAATTTATATGCAACACATTAATTTTATGGAAGTAATGAGAGAAACTATAACAGAAAAAAAAAACCAATAAAAATAATCCAGTATGATGGTGAGATGAATACAATCAGGCAGTGAGGAAGAACTTCTTAAAAAAAAAAGAAATGGCTACATATTCTATATATGGAAAATTGGGTTCTTCTGGAATACACTAAAAAATTTCAAATCAAAATGGATGAAAGCAAAAAAAGAATTTAGCAGTAGTTTTTTTTCTTGAAGAGAGCTAGTAGAAAGCACTGAATGGAATCTACCTGCCATGGCAGATGGTTTCAGATCCATCACCAACAAACTCTTCAACAGGTAATTTATTTCTTATACAGGTTACTTATTTCTAGATCAACCCTTTAACTATACTGAATTTTTTGCAGCTTTGGAGAAATGTAAATCATTCTCAGTTCCAGGACTATAGACACAGTATAGACTATAAAATGATAAAAACATTATCAGATAAATGCAAATTGCTTCTACTGGACATTTTCAATGAACTGTATCAATCTCAAGTTATACTGGAAGCAAATCTTTTTGCCTAGGCAAAATAGCAACACCCTATTATCAATAACAATTTTCTCCTGTATATGCAAACTAAAAGACATAAACAGTCGACTTCTATGGTGAGTTGAATGCAATGGCATTCTTTCAAATTATCAATCAGACTTCAGAAAAGACCACTTTTGTTTAGATAACATCGGAATATCACTCACCACAGCAAATAAGAGTTCTATACTAACAGTATACAGCAACAGTATGTCTGGATATTAATAGCGTCTTTGACAACGTGCAAAGGCAAATTCTCTTACAAATGCTCCTCCATCTTCGAATAAAAGGCCAACTTACACACTTCATTTCCTGTTGGATGTATTGAAGACAAGTACAATTTATAGGTAGTAATAATCTGTAGAAAAACCTACCAAAACTGTATCATTCACAAAGATCTTCCACAGGGAGAGGTGCTATATGTCCTCTGCTCTGTAGAGATGTGTAAATACGTGCACAGTACATGTGTATCATCTACAACCTACAGATGATCTTGTAGTCACTTAATGTGCGGATGATACACTCTAATAACTAAAAATACAAATCGACGAGAAGACAAAACTTTACTTATTAGAGCAATTAAAATAATTCAAACAAATCTTCAAGCAATTAACCTGAAACTAATACGGAGAAAACCGAATTAATATGGTTTGGAAATTCTTCTCGGGTGCCACTCAGAACAAATATATAAATGGATAACATTACAATTTACAGCAAACCAGCAGTTAAATTTCTGGGAGCTTATATAGATAGCAGACTGAATTTCAAAACTCATATAGAATATGAGTATATATGAATATACAACAATACAATAAACTTGATATAAAATTTTTACGTGGTGAAGCTATTATTCAAATAATAGGATAACTACCATATTAAGACCAATCAAGAAGTCAACCCAGTTAAGAAAGTCCCAAATAAAATTATCATTCGCAATCAAGGAATTCTTAAAAGATCCGCAAATCAAGCTGCTCAAAATCATAACGTTTCCTAAAAATTAATAACATCAAAATTTAAAAGGCAACAGGAACGAAGAAATCTAATTGTAAGAATTGGTTACTGAGTTGTGATCCTCAATATATCAAATTATTTTTTGTACCAAGTTATTCTTCTTTTGTATACATATAAGTTATACAGTATGTAAGAATAAAACCAAGGCTAGATTTCAAGTTAATCAATAAAAAAAAAAGATAAATTTTTATTTGCAAAAAACCTAATTTATTGAACTGTGAACTTTCGTAATTGCATCTTCTTAATCAGGCTTCCTTTCCTTTATCCAATTTGAAGAGTAAAATGCAGAAACACAGACATGGTGTATAAATAGACCTACATACAAAGTATTTTTCATGTCCCACGATTTCTAAGTCCTAAGAACCCCTTACTATTTTCGTATCATGTACTGATTTAGGCAGATTTTGCACAGCTATTAGTAATGAGAATTAAAATAAGAAAATATGAACAGTGTTGTCACATTCTGCTCTTAGAATTATTTATTGGATTGAATATAGTGATACATTAATAAGTAATATAACGATTTGGAACAGAGATTGATGGAAATTGGAACTAAAAATTTATTATATATTTGATTATTTAAATGTATTTAAAAATATTAAAAAAAACTAATTGAAATGAATTTTTATTTTATTTGAACGAATCAAATAAATGTTTCTACAAATATTTTTATTCTTTTCCCCGAGTTAACGTTTAGTGCGAAACGTACGCATATTGAGTTAAAGACTACAGCGCCAATGGTGAAATATGCAATATACTTTCTATGATTGTTGAACATAATCGATATTTCTCATGATTGATTTTTAAGTAGGAAGCATGCCTAAAAAAAGCATATTTTATTTGTAAAGAAGAAAGTATTATCCAGAAGTTCTCAGGTAAAAATTTAAATCAATGTGTTAGATTTGTTTCTGTTGTGAATTTTTAAAATAAAACTTGCATTTTTATTTTGAATTCGATATGTACCAGAATTCAGTTCTGACCAGTATAATTGTTTTGACATTGTAACGCTGATTAATTTACAATTAGGCAATATTCTTGCACACTTAGTAGGTAGTAAATCATCTTTTTTACTTTTACCGGTTCTCGATTCGTAGGAAAACCTCTAGGGATAACTGCAGATTAAATATCTTGGCAGAGAGATTTGAAATTGAATTTTAACACTTAGTAGAAGATTATACATTGACGGACGAATATAATTACATACTGAATTAAAAATTGTCGATTTTTAACCAGTCATTACTTTATGAAAGAAAATATAAAAAAATTGTTCACTTTTATATTTGCTGCATGATGTAAAAATAAATATCTTCGAAAGAAATAAACTCAGGATTATTAAAATAGAGATTTTGCGCTTTTAAATAAAATCAAGTTCATGATCCTACAATTTTTTTTGTCACGAAATTATAACGGTTTAAAGTATTGACAATTTTTCATCAAGTGTACGAATATTTTCTTTCTTTTTCAAAAATTTCTCATGAATTTTGTGTATTTGATTTTGACTAGTTTTCTATTTTTTATTTTAAATTATCATTTCGCGCGGAAACGCCCCAACGGTGAAACAATATACTATCTGCGATTATTGAAATAATCGATATTTCTCACGATCGATTTTTAGCGGGAAGCATGGCGGAAAGGAGCAAGCATCATCCGTAAAGAAGTAAGCGTTATTCAGAAAAGTTATCCAGAAAGAAGTATCTTCCAGCAGTTCTCAGGTAAAAATCAATCAGCTGTTAGATTTGTGTTTGTATTGTGAATTTTTGTGGGAATATCCACTTTTAGCTTCAACTCAAGGTAAGATTTAACCAAATAATTATTACATATAATTTACAACAATTATAGT